AGTCATTTTAATTGAATTACTATTATTATTACTTAAAACTCTAAAAGGGTTTTGACTAAAAGACATAAACAAACCTAATATTTTTATAAACCCATTTTAATTAATTAATATTTAAATATAACTAATATTATTAATTGAAATCCGAAATTAACGGTATTACCAATAATTGAAAAATTAATATACATTTTCAAACGAATTTCAAATATATGCGCGATAAATTATAACATCATTCACATGCATTTGAAGTTAAATATATTGTTAATTAATTAACAACCTCACTAACAATTTTAATCATCTAAAACGAAAAACAAAATACTCCCTCTGTCCCTAAAAATATTTCAACTTTCCTTTTTGGGTGTACCAAAATAAACTTCCACTTTCCCTTTTTGGCAAAGAATTTGTGGTTTACAGCAAATCTTACACATTTCTCTATCCTCTGCACAACTTTCCACCACACAATACCCACTATCTTAATCCCCGTGCCAGTTGTATTATGGAAGTAAATTTAGGGACGATGGGAGTAATATTTAGCATTAAATAAGATACATAATTCGAATGACATACCTTATTTGCATAGGCAGAGAAAATGACATAAGATTACATCCTTCAATCTTTCAACAGATACCGTATTATACTCTGATTGAATTTCAATTAGTATGAGTCGAATGAAACTGTTCTTGCATATATAAAACACCGAGTCACGGATTTTGTCACGGATTGTTCCGTGACAACCTCTCTCCGTACAACATTAATTCGGTGACCGTTGGAAATAACAATTATTGAGTTTTGTCACGAAATTTGTCACGGATCCGTCCGTGATAAACAAAAAAGAAAATTAATAATTTTGTCGCAGATTTTGTGTAATACCCGAGATTAATTTAAGAGGATTAATAGTACTACTCACACCAACAGAGATGCATCTTCTTTTAAGGGAGTTCATAAAGTTTCTCAGGGCGCGCATGAGTGAGGACAAAGTACGCGGTAAAGGCTCGTGGTGGTTTGTGGGGACAGTACTAGAGGCCTGGAGTAACTCCCTTGGGTCCTGCGGGGCCGGGGTGTTACAGGTGGTATCAGAGCAACCCTGGGACTGTGTGTTGACCCGTTGGATATCGGGCAGGGCACTTAGCGGGGCAAGATTCTGGGGTTCGATTGAGATTGTTAAGGGCGCAACGAGGACGTTGCGATCCTAAGTGGGGGTGATTGTAATACCCGAGATTAATTTAAGAGGATTAATAGTACTACTCATACCAACAGAGGTGCATCTCCTTTTAAGTGAGCTCATCAACCAAGAACTCCAAAGTTAAGCGTGCTTGCACGGGAGTAGTCTTGGTATGGGTGACCCCCTGAGAAGTTTCTCAGGGCGTGCATGAGTGAGAACAAAGTGTGCGGTAAAGGCTTGTGGGGAGAGTACTAGAGGCCTGGAGTAACTCCCTCGGGTCCTACGGGGTCGGGGTGTTACATTTTGTCCATGACAAAACACCGAAATAAAAAAAATTACGTCAGCATAAGTTCCTGCTCTTCGGAGCTGTGTTATCACGACCTTTGTCACGGAAAGCGTCTGTGACAAAGTTTTGTCACGGATTTGGTCCGTGACAAAGATATTTGGTGACATGTGTGATAAGTACGTGACAAAATTCGTGACAAACCTGTCACGAACCAAATCCGTGACAAAGTGATGTTTTTTTGTAGTGGTGGGAAAAATACTCAGATGATAGTGAAGCATGAAAGTTCGGTGGAATAGTATTAGCAGCAAAGACCGCATGCGGCAGTTCTCTTCTACTCCCTTCATCCCATTGGACTTTGCCAACTTTCTCTTTTTTGTTGTCCCAAAAAACTTTGTCACTATCCTATTAAAACAACTAATTTGTGGTTGTGCATATTGTTGGAAAAATGTGTTAAAAATTGCATTAAATTTTCATTTTGGGGCAATTATTTGAGTGGGATCCACTTCCGATTTGGGTCGGGTCAAAGTGGTTTCGGATTGTCCTTGTTAAGGGCTACAATTCGATATGTGGTACACTCAAAACGGATAACGGGTGAATGAGAAATTGATTCTCGAAGTTCACTCGTTGAAATGGAAAAACTGGGAAAATGATGAGTTTCTAGTGTGTTTTATCCCACACCGAAAAACTCAAGGGATTTTCACCTCCTTATAAAGGGAAGCTTCTGTTAAGGAGTTAAAATTCCTAAAGGGAGAAGAAACGGAGAAGAAAAACCGTGACTCGTGTGCGCGGGCGACCTGCGGACACGAATGCCGTCCAAAAATCTATCTCTCAAAGGGGGTGTTCTGTTGGGGTCTTCTGTCACGCATTTCTTCCGTTACAACAATGAATGTCCAACGTTCTTCTCTTTTAATGCTGCGTTAAATGGACAGTTTATGGACGATTCAATGCCCAACGGACTGATCATTGATGTCCAACGTTCAAGTCCATTAACACCTCATTTAACACACAACAAATCCTCCTATAAATAGCTGGCAGGTGCTTTGCAACAAACACACGGTTTGACACAACACACAATACTTTCCTCACGAATTTCTTGAGCTAAAAACACATACAGCTACTCTGCAAAATTTCCTTCTGTGTTCATACTTGGTTCTCGTTCGCTGGAACTCTTGTTTGTGTGCTCAAACATTAGTTCGTAGTCATCGTATCCTGGGAAACGATTGTTGCAACGCTCCTAGTACCGTGGGAGGCAACAAATACGTTTTAAGGAAATCGTGCGTAGCACGAGCTTTGACTAATTCTGCTTCATCTCCTTTCTTGTTTTTCTCTAGGCATTTTATTTAATTAATTTATTTAAATTAATTTTCTTTATTTTCCGAAACACACCCAACACATATTTCCTTCTCATCTGCACAAATCTCAACCACACAGTTTTTACTATTCTTATTTCTCACCTACTTTGCACTTGACAAAGCCTACCAGGACGGAGGTAGTATATTTTTCTGATTTTGCGTCAACTAACATATGTGTGGTGATAGTTCTTCTTCTTTTGTACCGATTCCATGGGAGGGGTCAATTTAAGGTAGATTCTATAGTACCCTTAAGGTACCGTACATTTGTCTACATGGACCAATCAAAATGATGTAGTTGAATTATTTAAATCTAGATTAAAAATGATGTAATGATTTGAACCAATCAAGTGAGTGGTAAGTACGGTACCCCATATTTTAAATAGTTAGTGGAGTTGTCACCTTAATTTAATTGCAAATCATAAAGTATTGGGCAATGGGCATGTGACAAACATATAACGTGGCATCTACCATATAATCCCATTGATTAGAAAAAGTATTGCACCAAAAAAGTCACCATTTTGGAATGCACGGTAGAAGGATAAAAAAAAACCGTACATATAAATGATTGAGTTAATTCCATTGTAAGCCTAACATTAACCACAGCGCATTATGAATCATAATCACATCTCCAGTGCAAAAACGTGAATAATGCATACGTGGTATTAGAGATAGCCAATTAAAAAATAACGAATAGAATATCTCTCTCTATTGTTTGAACAATGTTATACGTTTTTGGTAAGTTTTTCTCTACAATGTCAAACACAATGTCTAGATGTAGACATTGTGGTGGACATTGTTGAGAAAAACTTACCAAAAAACACACAAAACCGTGGAAAGAAGGAGAGAGAAATGTCAAAAATTTAATTTTTTGTGTCTATATCTCTCATGCCAGATGTGTACCGTGCACATTGTAGCATTGGAGATGATCTAAGAAATCTCTAAGTAAAGATTTATAATTGAACTATATTCTTTTTGGTTTAAATATGTTTTTAATCTTTGCAAATATGACACACTTTGTTTTAGGTTGATGTACAATATTTTTTGTTTTTCATCCCAGAAATTTATGCTGCTTTTCTTTGTAGTTCATGACTCTAATAATAGCAACCTTTGTTTGACAACAAAACAACCCTGACCGGTACGTTTCCTATATTTCTTTGTCATGTCATTCAATTAGTATTTAGTTTCATTTTAGAAGGTTTTTAATACATATTTTTAAAATGGTAATAATATGTTTTATATTGTTTTAATCCTCATATTAGGCTCAAAGAATTTAAAAATGAAAAAAATTAAACGGTTATAGTAGATTTATGCAACCGGCAATAAAAAGTTTTCTAATTAGAGTTGTTTCGGACTAAAATCAAAATAGATGAGAGCATATTACATGGATGAAAAACAAAGAAAATATTATGCACGGACGTAAAATAAAGTGTGTCATATTTACAACGACTAAAATCATATTTAAACCTATCTTTTTTCATCAGTTTGTGATTAAAGTTTAATTTACATCCACTCAATAACGTTTGATTGATTTTAGCAGCTCTAAGTAAACGAGATGTCTTTGTGTGTCTTACCTTGATTTGACATAATTATTAGTGAAGTGATTGAAAATGTACAAGTGGTTGTTCAGATTTGAATATAATAAAATGAAATGTTGTAAACCACATATTTTTTTCAAAAGGGAAATGTGACACTTATTATTTCAGAACAACCCTAAAAGGAAAGTAAGACGGATAAATTAGAACGGAGGGAATAAAAGGTAAAAAAATAGAAATTGCTCAATATAGATAAAAAATATTCACAAATATAAAAAACAGGACTAAGTTTATTTTATTCGCCAAATATGACTTGTTTAGTCCTATTAAAAAAATAAATTACCAGAAATATGAATAAATGAGTCATATTTGGAAAATAAAACAAAAATAATCTTATTTATGAACTTAATCTTTGTTTTAGTACATATGGGTATAAATGACCGTACGAATGATACAGAGTCGTTCGTCTAAAAGTAACATAAATTCTCAAAAAGTGCAGAGTAAAACAATGATCCACATAAGTCATTTTTCTTAAAAAGTGCATTAAAATCACAGGATAGTTGATCATCATAATTCTAAAAAAGCTAGCATTGCCAAGTCAACTTGCCTTAATGAGAGAAATAGAAAGAAGTGGAGGAGGGTAGACCAGCTCCAAACGAAATTTCCATTTTGTTTTCCCACTTATGCCCACTCCTATGTATAAATAGCCTTGTCAGTGCCCTCTTCACATCATCAAAACATTCCCAAGCCAAGAAAAAAATACAGAGGAAGAAGAAGAAAAAAACATATCAAATTTAGCTTACGTTTAAAGCCTTCAAAAAACTTCCAAGAGACCAAGAGTGAATAAGATCAATAAACTCAAGCATGGCCGCACCTTTGTCCACATGGCCATGGGAAAACTTGGGCGTATACAAGGTATATATTCAATTACTTATCTTAGTCTTAAATATTACCTATGCAACACGGAAACTCTCAAGACAGAGTACGTTTTCGTTTCGAAAACTCTACAAGAATTCTTGAGAAACTCTCCGATCCGAACAGTTGTTTTTCGAGTAAAAGTCTATGTTTCCCGTTTTCCAATTTCTCATGATTTTCACGTTTCCGTGCAAATTTATTGAAAAATTTGAAGTATGATATTAAACGCCTTTATTGGTTATGGTTGGAACAGTATTTGCTATATGGACCATTTCTTGCAAAGGTTTTGCATTCAAGATACTATGAAGAAGAAAGCAATAGCACAACAACTTGGTGCTTAAGCATACTTATTTTGTGTGTACTTAGAATGGCGGTGCACCAAATATGGTCTTCATTCAATAGCATGCTGTTCTTCGTTCGAAATCGCCTAATCGTTCAACAAGGGACCGATTTCCAGCAGATTGACAAAGAATGGGACTGGTACGTGCATTTATATGTTGTTCATTCTTCCCATTGAAGAGTCTCTCTTATAGAGGGAGACATATTTCTCTTTTTTGTTTGTCAAGTGTCATATTTCTTTTTTGTCTCATTTTCATTGGTTTTATTTTCTTTTTTTGGTTGTCACAAAGTAAGTGTCATATATCTTTTTGGAAAAATATAGATAGTATATGGTTCACATCATTTCACATTGTTATACTCAAATCTCAATTAAAACTTTTTTCAACCACTTTATTAATAATTGTGTCAAACCAAAACAAGACACATAATATGTGACACGGGTAGTATTGATTAAGCTATCCGACACTGACATCTTACGAAAGTGCAAATTAACATAGGAAAAGTTTCTGAAATAGGAGTAAACAGATTTTAGAATTCTAGAATAAGACTATTAGGTTTTTCTTGTTGAAGTGGATGTAACATGCATGACAGTATTTACTGTCATGTTGGAGTCATTACTGTCAAAATCGTTGTAGTACTAAGCATTAACATAGCAATATTTAGTGCCATTAACGCAATCTTGGGATAGCTACCGTCTAAATAGTTGTAGTATTAGGTATTAACATGAAAGTACTTACTGCCATTAATGATAATATTTTTCAATCATAACAGTAATAACGAGAAGAAAAACAAAGTTGTCCAATTTTGGAATTTCAAAATCCGTTTACTCCTATTTAGACAATTTCCCATTAACATATAAAATCTTCAACTACTTCCGGATTAAATTTTTAGAATGAAATTCCTGTCTAGCTATATGTAAAGTAAATAGTTTTTGTAAAATGTTTCAGGGACAATTTCTTGATACTTGAAGCTTTGATGGCAAGTTTAGGGTTCCTCATGTTCCCAGAGACAATTGCCAGTCTCCCAGCTTGGGACACGAGAGGAGTAATGGCTGCAATTTTGCTCCACGTTACGGTTTCTGAGCCCCTTTACTATTACCTCCATAAATGCTTTCATGGCAGCACATTTCTCTTTAACAATTATCATTCACTGCACCATTCCTCGGCCGTACCACACCCATACACATGTACGTATGCTAAACTATACTGTTTCCACATTCAAAGTTTCTGTTTGGACTTGCAAATTTTAATGTTTTATTTTTATATCTCTTCCGGTACTGTTACATAAATTATTTTTTTAAAAAGGAAGTCATACAATTATTCTCGAACAATCATAAAAGAAAAGTAGGACTATTATTGGGAACGAACAGGGCCGGCTAGAGCAATTATGAGGCCCTAGATGATCATGTAGAAATTTTGTTTTAAATATGTTTTATTTAACTCAATGATATAAAAAATAGCAATTAAATATAAGTAAATTACATATAAAATACATCATATACTATTAACACAGTGAGAATATTCTTCGAAATCAGAAGATCAAAGTTGATGAAAAAATACAAAGAGCCCTAGAGGGAGAAGATTTTGTGCTTACGTACAACATACCGATCGATAGAGCCGGAAAGTGATTTCATGACCAATCATTTCTTAATTTTTTTCTTTGTCTTTGTACATCTTGATTCATATTTTGTTTTCCCATCATCACAAAACATAAAATTTCATTCAAAATAATACTATCACTAAATATAAGTTAATGGTTCATAGATATAAATTTAATTCACTAAATTTAATCAAATATAAAAATTATAAGTATGTTCAATATTTCGATGAATCAAAACAACAAATTGCAATTTCAATTATTCAATAAGCATTCAAATATATTTAGAATACTCATTATCCTAAATCCCTAGCCCTACTGCCCTAGCCAACAAAGAAAAAAAGGAAAACGGGGCAAATAATCCCACATACTAACCAAAAAGGTCAAATAAGTCCTTTTATAAGAGAATTTGTCCGGCCGTCGCCATTTGGGGAAGTTCCCGGTGGAATGTTTTGATGAAGTTTTTTGAGAATCTTATTCATTAAGTCTTGTTTACTCATACCAAATTTCAGCTAACAATTAAACGGGGAAGGCATTCAAATAAATTCTTGAAGATAACTGCGCTTTTAACTGCGCAGTTATCTTCAAGAATTCATTTGAATGCATGTCTTCCCGATTGAATTTTTAGGTGAAATTTGGTATGAGTAAACTAGACATAATGAATAAGATTCAAAAAAAAAAATCATCAAAAAATTCCAAAGGATACTATCCCAAATGTTGACGGCCAGACAAAGTTTCCTAAATAATATTAATAAGCTTATTTTATAAATTAGAGGCCCCTAAAATTTGGAGGCCCTAGACACTTGTCTAGGGTAACTCCCCCTATGGCCGGCCCTGGGAACGAAGACATGGAGGGAATATAATTAAGAGACCGTTGAAATTTATGAAGTTCTGTCTGAGGTGCTTAAATTGACAATTTTGAGGATTTCTGAAAAAATTAAATTTAAAATATATTTATTAATAAAATAAAGAAAAAATCATATGTAAAATAGCTAAAATAGACTTCCACAATAACTTCAGTCAATACATTCAGAAATGTAACTTCAATCTTACATTTTTTATCATTAGACAATTCAGCGCGCGAAATAAAAACTTATGTGTTTGAAGAAAAAGATCACTAATAAGCCTGATAAGCTTAAAAATAGGGTTACTAACAAACGTGTCCTATAAAGTTCGATATGAGTTTTCTATCTTACTACCTCCGTTCTCATTTAATTGCAACATTGGAACTTTTGCACTATTCATTTATTCTACTTTGACTATATTTTATTAATTATTGTATTATAAATTAATTTTTTTTAAAATATTGTTAAATTCTTCTCATTCTAAATTTTCAAAATATGATTTTTTTTAAATTTTTTATTAATAGGGAAAGAAAGATATTATTGATCAAACTTGTATGTTGGCAAACGTGAAATATTTACCGTTTCAATTAAAAGGGAACGGAGGAAGTGTAAAGTTTCAAACTTTATATTCAGAATCAATAATGAAAAAGAGGGAATATTATTTATCACTATTACTTACAATTACTTCCTCTATTTAGTCGTAAACAGCCAATTGACTTGAAATAAAATATGGAACTACTTTTAAGATAAACCGAAAACGAAAGTGCACGTATATATAGCATAGCTTAAAGACAAAGCCGTAAAGCCAACTATTAAAGTACATGTCCTCCCAAAAAGGTTGATATTTAGCTTTAAAGTAAAAAAATTGTAATTTATATTATTTCTTTCTACGCACAAATTTCAATCATACACATTGTATATGTGTACATTAAAATTGATCAATTTTTATGAGACTAATGAGTGTATCTTCACTTACAATATTATATTATGGATATTTATAAAAAGACATTCCTTATAGTAATAAGTATATCAGTTAAAAACACATGCACGCTAATACAAATTGTTGGAAACTGTTTTATTTTATAATTTATACTATTTCAAAATAATTAAGAATGAAAGTTCATCATCATTATTCCAGTGACGCAAAGACTCTCACCTTCGCTAGGGTTAGAGGTCGGATGTACACAGTCTTACCCTTGTATTCAAACACAAAAAGACTGTTTCTAGATGATTCATAGTGAAAATTGCGTCGAAAATTGCACGGATTAGCTGAATATTGCTTCACTAGTTTAGTAAGTCATTTTGTTTTATTCTATCATATTCCTAAACCAAAAAATAGTGAGTGTTTGCCTGCAATTGCAAATGGTGGAAGTTAAGAAATTTTAAAATTTGAAATTCTAAGCGGAAATTTTAGATATGTAGTAGAGCAATTAAAGCCCCTCTTTTAAGATCTAAATTAGTTGTTAAGTCATGTAATCGAGATTAAATATAAAAGTAGTAGTACAAAATAACATTTTTGAACAGTTCTCTGACTTTCTTAAAGTTGAATTTAAAATCTTGAAATCAGTGTTAGATATTTTATTGAAACTATATAGTGACAAAGTTTTTATGTAATGTTACATTTTGGGTCATGCAGCTGCACATGCTACACCTTTAGAGCACCTATTTTTAGGCACAATAATGGGGATACCCATCCTTGGGGCATGCATGATGGGATATGGATCGACGGCCATGATTTATGGTTACATTCTGGCTTTTGATTTCTTGAGATGTTTGGGGCATTGCAACATCGAAATTGTTCCACATCAGCTGTTTGAAGCCCTTCCATTTTTGAGATATCTCATTTACACCCCCACGTAAGTGAATTCCTCTCTTTTCACACCCTTACCTCACCATCGGTTTCATCAGAAGCCCGTTTGGTAGCATGAAAATCGGTTGATTTGGTTGATTCTGCTGAAATTTATTAAATTCCGGCTGAAGTGGCTGCATTGACTGATTCTGCTGATTTAAGAAAAAAATAATTTTAAAATATATTTTATTAATAAAATAAAGAAAAAATTATATGTAAAAATAACTAAAATGATCATCTACGATAACTTCAGCCAATACAGCACAAAGTTAACTCCGACCTTACTTTTTCTTTCTTATTACACAATTCTAACGCGCGAAAGCAAAATCAAATGGTTACCCAAACTATCTTTTCATTTTGCCCATACTTCAATTCATGGGATTGGTGTATGATTTGACTCTTTTTTTAAATGCAGATATCACAGTATACATCATACAGAGATGGACACCAATTATTGCCTCTTTATGCCTCTATTTGATGCTTTGGGCAACACCCTCAACAAAAAATCATGGGATAAGCACAGGGAAATTAGTTTGCTAGCAGGTGATTAATTTAATTAGTCAGCAACTTTAATTAGTTTGCACCCTCTCAACAAAAATATTAAATTTTGGAAAATATGTCAACTAATTTTGCCAACCTTGCCTGATGGCAACACCGGTCACAAAGTCTTACTCTTTTTGTCCCTTATAACTTTCATTTTTTGGATGTTCTAAAATTTTTGTCAATTTCTCGTTAAATAGTTGAGTTTCTGGTTCCTGATATTTCTCTCTCTTCTGCACATATATCAATCACACGATTTTTACTTTATTATTTTCCATGCCGGTTAAACATGACATAGTATTGAAGGACAAAGAGAGTAGTTTATTGTTTCATTTTTAAAAACATCTTTTGTACACAAATTACTGTTTCACACACTTTTAAACATGTTTGTGAAGAGTTTTCTTTGTCCGTGTCATAGACACTTTTAAACGTGTTTGTGAAGGGTTTTCTTTATCCCTCACAGACAAGTTTTCTAGGTCAAAACGTCCCTCAATACTTTCACGCATGTAAACATTTGTACAATAGATGTAAAAATATAATTGTTGTCCATTTTTGGATACGGGATGAATCATTCATTTATTTGACAACTCCTCGCTACCGGACACCTGATGTTTTTTCTTTTGTGATACATTTTCTCTTTAGAAAGGGCAGCGTTTTATTGGTGTATTTCCATTTTCCAATATAGGTAACCACATCAAAGCTACAAATATACTGAGTATGTTATTAAGACTTGATTTCAATTCTGATAGATCAACTTGACTTTAGGAAAAATGGAAAAGCTTATATGTAGCCAATTAAATCATTCAGCAATAGATAAAATTATTGCCATGATATTTTTGAAACTAATAGAAAATCATACTTGGTATATATTAATGTTCAAACTTATGCATCGATAAATATGGAAAGTTGACTATCGCATTCATTTAAGAATGGAAGAAGTATATTTTACTATCCACTCAGTGGCGGATCTAACATCTTAATTTTGGGTGTTCAAAGTTATTTTACAATTAAAATTATGAGCAATAATATTATTTGATGGCACAATTCTACACATAAATCTTAAGAAATTAAGAAGTATTATACAAGTAAAGTACAATGAATTATTAAATTAATTTTATATATATGTAATTTTACACTTCTAATCCAAACTTTTGGGTGTTCACATGCATAGTTTTGAACACACTACAATGAGCTCCGTCACTGCTAAGATGCAATGTAAAAATGATAATAAAACCCGAAAATGTAGTCAAAAGTTGAGGTGAACATTAGTGGTAAAGGACTATCTTTATCAAAATAATTTGTCAAAATAAATTACTTTATTGACTACAAAAAATACTAGATTGACAGAAAAAATTGGCAGAGATTCCCGAAAACTGACAGAGAATTTGGCATGGATATGCGAAATCCGTTTAAAAACAATTTGGCACAAACTATTTGACATGAAATTATTGGTAAATCCGTGTCAATTCCGTAATTTTTTTTAGTAGTGATTACTCTGTAGTCCGTATAATCATAAATTCACACGTATCAACAATCTAATCAAAATAACTAAATGTAATGCATGCAGGAAAAAATGGGAGGGTACCGGACTTTGTGTTCTTGGCCCATATAGTGGACTTCTCAGCGGCCGTTCACGTCCCCTTCGTGTGGAGGTCATTCTCGTCAACCCCCTTCAGGACGAGGCTCTTCGTGATCCCCTTCATTCCTATAAGCTTCATGTTAATGCCCTTAATGTGGATTTACTCGAAGACATTCTTGGTCTCTTCCTACATCCTCAAGGGTCATCTCCAACAAACTTGGACCGTACCCCGTTTCGGTTTTCAGGTCAGTCAACTACTTTCTTTACCATTTAATTAGGGTATGTTTGGAAATTGGGAGTCTAAAAAACCGAAGAGATAATTTTTAATTACTTTTGTAGTTTTTCAAAATCCTTCAATTACTCAATTTTTAAGTTTCCGAATTCAGGAATTTCAAATAGTATATTGTAAAGTATAATAAGGCCTTTGATGTCGTTTTTAATTTGTTGTAAATAAAGTATAATAAGGCCTTGCTCCCCATCATTAATTCATCTGAAATTATGATTGAAATAGTCGGATTTGGAAAAACTAAAATAAAATATTTTTACTAATAAAATGAGAAAAATTATATGCAATGATGATAAAATTGTCCTGTCCCGCAATTTCAGCCAGAAAAAACTCTAGCATTGTGTATTTTGATTAACAGCATGTTTCGCAGGCATAAGTCTTTATCATGTAGTTGTTGTCCTATTTAAAAAGTTTTTAGAAGCTACAAATTGTATGTTTGACATGCCAATTTTCAAGAGTTTTTTTTTAAAAATAAAAGATATGTAACAGTGAGTAGCATTTACGTTACGTCAGTAGTTTCTAACATTAATTCGTCCCAAAAGCTTGTATTCCAGCGATGGACACATGAATTTGCGATAGGAGGGGTGACAGTGTAAAAAAATACATACAAATACATATTTATTAATTTTTTTTGGAGTAAATACACCTAGAAGACAAAAAATTGGGTGGGGGCGGCGACGGCTCCCATTAACCCCCAATGCATGTGTCCACGGTGGGTGTATACCAAACAAAATAATTCAAACAGTCAATTTTTTATCAAACAATTACTACATACTACTTTTTCCTTTAAAATCTTTTCAGTCAATAAAAGTCAACGAATACTAAAAAAACTCATAAAAATATATTTTTCATGTACTTGTGCGAAACATACCTAATACAAATTTCAGTTAGCTAAGCCAAGTATTTCGTACGATAGTATCAACCCTTCAATGTAAAATTGAGTGATAAGTAGAAAACAATGCTTACCAAATACGGAGTAATAGATTTTTCTCTTGGTGTAATTTATGTTATTGCAGTACTTCATACCATATGCGGCAAAAGGAATCAATGGGCTCATAGAAGAAGCTATTCTTAGAGCTGACAGGATAGGGGTGAAGGTTATCAGCCTTGCAGCCTTGAATAAGGTTAGTTCAATATACAATAATCAAAGAAAATATTGGATCAAGAAATTCATTAGCACGTTAATTGTTACCAATTAACGTTTAGAATTTTATCAATTTATTTAATATCGGGACGTACTCAACTGGCAGACAGAGGTGTCACAAGGGGTAAGTCTCGGCACTACAAAAAAATTACGGGATTGGCACGGAATTTGGCACGGACTTACCGATTTTTCGTGCCAAATAGCTCGTGTCAAAGTGTTTTTGGCACGAATTTGGCATTTCTCTGCCAAAATCTTTGCCAAATCCCTGCCAATCCCGTGGTTATTTTGTAGTGCGGGTTCGAATCTACTCTCTATCTGTAGATTGCGATTAAAGTTCAATTTACATCCTCTCATCTAACTAACCAATCGGTGTCGGGGCTCTCATGGATGGGGTGTCATCCTTTTTTATCAATTTATTTAATTTGTCGTATAATTAGAGAATTAATATTAATTAATATGTGTAGAATGAAGCACTGAATGGAGGGGGGACATTGTTTGTGAACAAACATCCAAACCTAAGGGTTAGAGTGGTTCATGGGAATACCTTAACAGCGGCAGTAATATTAAATGATATTCCCAAGGACGTTGAGGAGGTTTTCTTGACCGGAGCCACCTCCAAGCTTGGCCGCGCCATTGCTCTTTACCTTTGTCGACGAAGAGTTAGGGTTTTGGTAAGTTTTCAATTATTTTTACTTTATTTACTACGGAGTACTACTTTCGTTCCTGCTGTCGAATTTGAATTTCAAATCAATGATGTTAAACTTTGACGAGTATATGAAAATGATAGGAGTATGAAAATGTTATTTCTTGAAAACACTACGGATTATTATAAAAGTACGAATTTATTAAATTTTATATAAATATATTAGTTAAAATTATGGATCACAGGTAAATAAAAAAAATGGATGTACTGATTATATCGTACGCAACTGGATTGTATGTAATAATAAAATACTTTATATTCAGATGTTCATTATTTACTCTGTATTCCTAAATAATTCATGCATATCCTTATCTTCATTTCCTTATTCGGAAAATACGAAGTAGTGTACTATATATTTCACATTACTTTTCCTTTATCTAAATTATTTTAAAATAATCACTTATTTTTCATTTAATTCATAATTGGATTATGCACTTTGGACTTTCTACGGGACACATGGAGTAATTATCTAATCTATACGCATTTTGTATCTGCATAATGTTCTTTAATTTTCTCCATAAACATAACGGTTCATTTGAATATAAATAAAACACGTTTTGTGTCTAAAAAACGTAATTAAGTCATTATGTTACGTTGCATGCACTATGTGCACAATGTATCCAGATGTGCAATATATATTTTTTATTTAAGAACCTTTTTATTAAGGAGTAATACGTAATATTCTTATTTTTGTATACTAAGTTGGTGAATGTTGTATATCTTAAATTTATTTGATGTGCTGTTTCCTAGAATTAATTGAGAGTTGACGATGATAGTTATGTTGTTGAAAATGTATATAAAACATGATTGCTGGCAATGTTTGGGTACTAAGTAATTAAATTAAATCACGTCTATGTTTATGTGTGCAATTGGTTTATTATGCATTTATTATTATGCCGACATGTAGTTAGTTGGATCTTTTTGACAACATAAGATCAGACTTTAGAAGCACACACACACAAGTATATACAGGAGTTAGAAGTCACCTTATTAGGCCCAACCCATCACAAATTGAAAATGTCAAGAGTGTTGATAGAAATTTACCTTGGGAGATTTGCAGTTTTAGTATGTAACTTTCGGCCGTTATTGTTTTTGGTCCTGTAACTTTAAGAACTTGCAAATTTGGTCCTGTAACTAATAAATCTTTGTAATTTAAGGACTTCCCCACCGGAAAGTACACTTTCCGGCGGAAAAATCCAACACCGGCGACATCTTTTCCGGTATGCTATTGCCGGAAAGTGTACTTTTCAGGAGAAAAGTTAGAGGATCGAATTTGTCAGTGACTAAAGTTACGGGATTAATAATGATAACGGTCTAAAATTATGGGATGAATATTGCAAATTTCCCATTTACCTTATTAGGCCCAACACAATTATATAAAAAATTATCAACTTTTTTTTTGTACTAGTCATCCTAACATTTTTTCAATGTGCCAAGATGGACTCATAGGTCAGATGCATTGGTACTTTACATTATTGTCCATATACCTAACTATATATGATTTTTCCAATTAGATAATACACTAAGTTTGTGAATGTTGTATAGTATATATGTAACATTGATATTTTCCCATTTAAAAGTAAGTGAGATTAAAAATAGTGAAATAAGATATAAATTGTTGAGGGTATAATGGTGACATAATGATATAGTGTGGTAGAATGAAGAATAAATTCAACTAAATTATTGTAATAGTGTACTATCCTCCGTTCCATAGAAGTTGCAACAGCTTGACTTTCACGTTTGCTAACGCGCAACTTTGAGTGTAATTATATGTATTTACGTATTAGTAAACATTAAAAAAGTTAATATACTGGAAATTTACATTAATAAAAATTTATTAATATTCTATACATAATATTTCACGTGAAGGAGTGATCTTGATAATATTTTTCCCTCATCTTTTTTTCCTAGTTTTTTTATCCTTATATATATGCATTATTTGCAGCCTTTTTATTTTATCATTTCTATATATATTCATCTTTTTTATATTATCTTTTCATAATAGCTTATCTTTTTATCTTTATTCCTTCTTTTCCTTTTGGTTGTGATATCATGTATCGATTCATGTTAGCCGACCCCAATATCTTTTGGGACTAAGACTTGGATGTTGTTGTTGTTGTATTCTATACATAATATTTTTATTATATACTCCCTCCGTCCCAATTTGATAGTCTCGTTTCTTTTGGGCACAAGTTTTAATAAAGTGCTTGAAAAGGTAAAAGTTGTGGTTGAGATTTGAGTATAATAAATTAAAGTGAAATGATATGGACCACATCTTTCTTTCCAAAAAGAGAAACATGACCATCATTTTGGGACATCCCTAAAAGGAAATACAGGACTATCATTTTGGGACGGAGAGAGTATATTATTAGAAAACTGTAGTCAAAGTAAGGTGTGTGAATAATGCAGAAATTCCAATGTTGCAACTTTTATGGAACGGAGAAAATATTATTTTCAAATTATTGAGATGAGGGTATGACTGGAAGATTTCGAAATGGAAAGATATAAATGTTACGGAAAAAATGAAAGTGGGAACATATAAATGTTAGGGGAGTATATAATTGACCGGAAACATAATTGATTGTATTTTAAAAAATTGTGCAGATGTTGACTCAGGCAACTGAGAGGTTTCAGAATATCCAAAAGGAGGCCCCAGCTGAATACCAGAAGTACCTAGTACAGGTCACAAAATACCAGGCTGCCAAACACTGCAAGGTGATAATGCAACTTAATTGTATATAGATCTAAGAATTAAAGAAGGAACAAATATACGCCTAATCTAGAAGGGAATAAATACCTTATTCCTATAGATTATAATACATAAATAATTATAAACCAATAAACGTATATATTGAATGCAAGAATTTGATTAAAACTCAAAATTTTCTTTTTTAATTACTTAAACTATTCTCTTTACTAAGTAAGATGTTTTTGATTATAGACATGGATAGTTGGGAAGTGGATCACAGCAAGAGAGCAAAACTTTGCACCCAAGGGAACTCATTTCCACCAGTTTGTGGTTCCTCCAGTTTTGCCCTTCAGAAGAGACTGCACCTATGGCGATCTTGCCGCCATGAAACTCCCTGATGATGTGCAAGGTCTTGGATCGTGTGAGGTGAGCCATATACATATTACTCCGTAAATGATGATCGTGACGAATCGATGAAAAATAAATGAATGATGGCATCACACACGTTCTCTATCGCGAGGGAATGTGAAAGTATTTCAGACATTAGTAAAATATGAACTAATAAACTAAGTACTAGATAAACATCGGGTTACTCGCTATCTAATCTTTTAAATGGATTATCCGATTTCAACGCACAACAAAAGATTTACGGGATTGCGTGGATTTGGCACGAAGTATCGGGTTAGCTCATGCCAATGTGTTTTTTGCATGGATTTGGCGCATAACCCTGCCAAATCCTCTATGCATTTTGGCGAATCCTCGTTAATCTTGTGCTTTTTTTTGGAGTGATGCCTATAAAAAATAAGGAGTAACAAAAAGTATAGACCTATAAGCTTCAATAAGGAGCACACAGTTTCAAAATGATCAGTTGACTTTCCCCAACAAATAGGGTGGCCAGCGAGGCTATATTAAGATCTAGGAGTACGTTATTATGTTTGCCTGCCTACTCTACCTTAGACCAATTTGGCTCATCCAATCCACTCCGTAACTTATTATAAATAGTATTTGATGTGGGCACTTAGCTAACTAACTAATAGGAAATGATAATGCTTTGACTAATGATTTTTTTTGTATGTATTTATTATTATGATGACATGTAGTATTCAATGGAAAGAGGGGTGGTCCATGCATGCCATGCTGGGGGGGTGGTTCATTTGCTTGAAGGGTGGACTCATAATGAAGTTGGAGCTCTTGATGTGGACAGAATTGATGTAGTTTGGGAAGCTGCTCTTAGGCATGGACTAAAGCCTGTCTCAAGGGTTGGAATGGAGAAAAACATGGTTACCAGTAGCTAGAACACAGGGATGGCTCTGATCTATATATGTAGTGACTTGTGGTGTCAAACTGAACAAATGTCCATCTCTTCATGTTTATGTATGTTTTAACTTAAAAACATACACTCCATATCTATACAACTATGTACCCATACATATGGACTGAATTTTCAAACCCTACAACAAATACAAAAATAAAATTTTGTAGCAAACATAATACACCCTCCGTTTCCAAAAGAAAGTCACGGTTTGACTTCAGGATTAAGGAAATAAATTGACTTTACTGTAGAAAATACTGTTTAGACACTGTTTGGACATTGTTTGGCACTGTTTCGCTGAAGATTTCTTTGTCAAATAAGAAAATAAGGGAAGTGTGACTTTGTTTTTGAAACATCCCAAAAAGGAAAGTGTGAGTTTCTTTTAGAAACGGAGGGAGTATGATTTACTCACATCAAGAAGATAAATTAATAGTATAACCTAAGTATTGCTATAAAGATAAAATTAATATTAATATAATGTAAGATATAATATATTAATAGGTATGTTCATAAGTCAATGGAACACTATAAAGGCAAGGATTACACACTATTACAGGTCGCCCCTAATATAGAGCACGAAGTTAGTTGATCTTCCATCATCACGAGTCTGGTGATATATCACTTCATTGGGTTTCAAACGACCCTTGTGTGTCTAACGGGTTTCGAACTCGAGACCTCTCGCTAGACATGGTAACCTCACAATCAGCTAGGCTGGAATGCTTGATTTGTTATATCCGTCATTATTAAACCTAAATTCCAAGAAGCATGCAAAGTTCTAAGAAAATATTGATATCTTTCGACAAAGATAAAAAATATTAAAGATTTAAAGTAGTTGAGGAAGACTCAAAGAAGTAAATCCAAATCTCAGATGCAAAGACACGAGGATTTAATTTGAACAAGTAGATAGCGTTTTAACTAATAAAATACACAGATCTGACTTGAACATTTATAAAATACACAGAGACCAAAACTTTACAGGAACAAGCCAAATTAGTTCAGATCAGACCACACCGGACCAAATCAGATCAGACCATATCAAACTATAAAATTTCAGTCCAACTAAAAAATTACCCCTAAATCAGCTCATTCTTCTTCCAATCTCCCATTTATATTATACATTTTATAAGTCTTATCAATTAATTTGATAACATTAGTGTGTGCGCAATACCTCATTCTCTTTTACATGTAACAATAGGTATTTAACACAAATTAAGAAAAGTAATGAGAGAGTAATAATTAGATCGAGTAGAATTGTAGCAAGTATAAAAGAGAGGGAGAAAACTTATAAAACTATAAAAGAAGAAAATGAAAATGAAAAAAGTACGAAAGAGAAAAAGAAAAAGGGCAAAAGTAGGAAATACATGCAATAAAAAATATGATAAGACTTTCCAAATCTAAAAATAACACAAATAATGAAACGCTTCCCATAAATGAGTATGTACCGAGTAAAACGGGATGTAGACTATCTTTTTTATTTTATATAAAATAAGAGTTCATGTTTTAGCCGAGTACCTTGTGGTCTGATGGCATCACTGTTGATACATGTACCAATATCCATTCTATCCCACCCCTACCCCTACCTCTACATGTTCCCCGTACCCCTAAACCCCCTACCCCCTACCCCACAACCCAACCCTGGGCCCTTACCCCACACCCCCACCCATCCCCCATACTCGTACCCCTTACCCCTGTTGAAGATGGAGCCTTGTTTGTGCAGCAGCAGTAGATACCCGACCGGGTGGGGTCAGTCACCCGACCGGGTGTAATGTGAATTTGGTCGGGCAACTCTCTGGATTGGGAAACTCGATCGGGTAAGGAGGTTTACCCGACCGGGTCCGTGGAAGGTTTTGGCTTCTGTTTAGGATACCCGACCTGGTGTCTACCCGGGTATGCTTTTTGAGGTGACACCCGACCGGGTCAAGAAGGGGACCCGACCGGGCCAGTGGAGTTTCTACCTTTCTGCTTTGGTTACCCGCCCTGGTCTCAACCCGGGCATGCTTATTGAGGAGTTACCCGACCGGGTCAAATAGGAGACCCGACCGGGTTTAAGGGTTAATTTTAATTACAGGCTTAATTTTTGGGCCTGCGGCTCTAATCTTTGTTTAGGTTTTCTTAAACCTATTTAAGCATATCTTGTACGTTGTAAGACCTCTTGACGCAGACCTAATAATAAAACAGCTCTCTCTCGTTCGCCGTGGACTAGCACAATCACCCCGATTGTGTGAACCACGTAAAATTCTTGTGTTCTTGCTCTTTAATTTATCGTTTTATTAACCTAAATCGTAACAAGTGGTATCAGAGCTATGGCTGACGAAGGAAAGGTTAAGATCGATAAATTTGATGGTCAAGATTTACTTTCTGGAAGATACAAATCGAGGATTATCTCTACGAGAAGAAGCTTCATCTACCCTTGTCTGAGAACAAACCAGAATCAATGGCAGAGGCGGAGTGGAACTTGCTGGATCGACAGGCTCTTGGTGTGGTGAGGTTGTCGTTGGCGAAAAACGTTGCTTACAACATTGTCAACGAGAAAACAACGTTTGGACTACTCAAGGCGTTATCCAACATGTACGAGAAACCCTCAGGGGGTGAGTACAGTAGCACAGAGTTTGTAGAGTATTGTGCTGAACAGGGGATAAGAATGCTGAAGACGGTTCCAGAAACACCACAGCAAAATGGTGTTGCAGAAAGGATGAACAGAACACTGAATGAGAGGGCTAGGAGCATGAGATTACATGCAGGACTTCCAAAGATGTTCTGGGCCGATGCGGTGAACACAACAGCATACTTGATCAACAGAGGACCCTCATCTCCCATAGGGTTCAAAATTCCAGAGGAGGAATGGAAAGGTCATGAGGTATCTCTTAATCACTTGAAAGTTTTTGGTTGTATTTCTTATGTCAAAGTTAGAGATGCAGATAGTGACAATCTCGAGGCAAAGGCAAAGAAATGTATCTTTATTGGGTACGGGCTGGATGACATGGGCTACAGGTTCTGGGACAACCACATCAAGAAGGTTATCAGAAGTAGAGATGTCACCTTCAACGAGAATGCCCTGTATAAAGATAATCTTGCAGCAGACAATAGCAAAGGCAAGCAACCAGAAAACAAACAACAAGTGGTGTTTGAAGGGATGACTGAAGACGACATAGCATAACCTATTGGTTGTGATGGCATGGCTGGAGGCTCAGGGAGCAGTGGGAGCTCAGGAGATACAGGAATTTCTGAAGATAGTGGGAGTGATGAAGATAGTGGGAGCTCAGAGGAAGCTACTCCACAAATCAGACAGTCCACTAGAAACAGAAGACCTCCTAACAGATATTCTCCTTAGCAAATTATCTGTTGCTGACCGAGAATGGAGAGCCAGAATCTTACACAGAGGCGCTGATCGTGAAGGATTCCATACAGTGGAAGAAGGCCATGGAGGATGAGTTAGATTCACTTGATAAGAACCAAACTTGGTCCTTAGTCAAGTTACCGCCGGGAAAGAAAGCTTTGGAGAACAAGTGGGTGTTCAGAATCAAAGATGAAGCAGATGGGAGCAAAAGATACAAGGCAAGGTTAGTTGTCAATGGGTTCCAACAGAAGAAGGGGGTTGATTACAATGAAATCTTCTCTCCGGTTGTGAAGATGACTACTATCAGGTTGATCCTTGGTATTGTTGCTGCTGAAAATTTGCAATTGGAGCAGCTGGATGTAAAGACTGCCTTTCTTCATGGCAACCTTGAAGAAGACATTATTTACATGGCTCACCCAGTAGGGTTCCCAGTGAGTGGTAAGGAGAAGTTGGTGTGCAAACTCAATAAGAGTCTATACGGGCTAAAGCAAGCTCCTAGACAGTGGTACTTGAAGTTTGACAGTTTTATGCAGCGGAATGGATACACTAGATGCAAGATGGACCATTGCTGCTACTTGAAGAAATTCAAGTCATCATACATCATTCTTCTTTTGTATGTTGATGACATGTTGGTGGCTGGAGCAAATATGCAGGAGATCAACAAACTTAAGAAGAAGTTGTCAGAAGAATTCGAGATGAAGGATTTGGGGGAAGCAAGACAGATTCTTGGGATGAGCATAGTGAGAAACAGGTTAGAAGGTACTTTACAGCTCTCACAGCAAAAGTACATTCAGAAGGTCCTTGAGAAGTTCAGAATGACGGATGCCAAACCAAGGAGTACACCGTTAGGGAGTCAACTGAAACTCTCCAAGCATCAGTCTCCAAAGACCAATGAAGACAAAGAAGAAATGACTAAAGGTTCATATGCATCAGCCGTTGGCAGCTTGATGTACGCGATGGTGTCAACAAGGCCAGACATTGCTCATGCAGTGGGAGTTGTTAGCAGGTTCATGTCAAATCCAGGAAAGGAGCATTGGGAAGAAGTTAAGTGGCTGTTGCGCTACTTGAAAGACTCTTCTGAAACTGCCCTATGTTTCAGAAGGAATGGTGTGATCCTTGAAGGATTTGCCGATGTTGATTTGGGGGGTTGCTATGATTTCGGGAAGAGCACAACGGGGTATGGATTCACTATTGGAGGTACGACAATCAGTTGGATGTCCAGACTACAGAAGAGTGTGGCTCTTTCAACCACAGAAGCAGAGTATGTGGCCATTGCTGAAGCGGCCAAGGAGTTGATCTGGTTGAAGAACTTCCTTTCTGAGTTGGGCATGAAGCAGGGAGATTGCGCTCTATATTGTGACAACCAGAGTGCTATTCATCTTGCAAAGAATCCGGTGTTTCACAGCAGAACGAAACACATCAAGATGCGGTATCATTTCATCCGAGAGTTGATTGAAGATGGTACTATAAATTTGCAGAAGATCCTTGGTACGAAGAATCCAGCAGACATGCTAACCAAGGCGGTGACAACGGAGAAGTTAAAGCTTAGCATGGCTTCAACTGGCCTTCCAGATACTTGATGAGAAGGCGTGAACGAGAGAGAGAGATCAGGGGTTTTATAGAGGATACAAGTTCTTGGATGGCAGATGATTGTTGAACAAGCCTCCAAGTGGGAGATTGTTGAAGATGGAGCCTTGTTTGTGCAGCAGTAGTAGATACCCGACCGGGTGGGGTCAGTCACCCGACCGGGTATGATGTGAATTTGGCCGGGCAACTCTCTGGATTGGGAAACCCGATCGGGTAAGGAGGTTTACCCGACCGGGTCCGTGGAAGGTTTTGTCTTCTGTTTAGGATACCCGACCTGGTGTCTACCCGGGTATGCTTTTTGAGGCGACACCCGACCGGGTCAAGAAGGGGACCCGACCGGGCCAGTGGAGTTTCTACCTTTCTGCTTTGGTTACCCGCCCTGGTATCAACCCGGGCATGCTTGCTGAGGAGTTACCCGACCGGGTCAAATAGGAGACCCGACCGGGTCTAAGGGTTAATTTTAATTACAGGCTTAATTTTTGGGCCTGCGACTCTAATCTTTGTTTAGGTTTTCTTAAACCTATTTAAGCATATCTTGTATGTTGTAAGACCTCTTGACGCAAACCTAATAATAAAACAGCTCTCTCTCGTTCGCCGTGGACTAGCACAATCACCCCGATTGTGTGAACCACGTAAAATTCTTGTGTTCTTGCTCTTTAATTTATCGTTTTATTAACCTAAATCGTAACAACCCCTGCCCCCTACCCTTGTCCCAACCCTTCCTCTCCTCCTCCACCGTTATCCCCCTGTGATGAAACAGTTAGTAACACGGGGGGGGGGGGGGGGGGGGTGCAGAATCGTGGCAGTTTTTCGTCAAGTTATAGTGTGGGGTGAAGGGTGAAATAAAATAAATAAGTACGAAAGGATTTAATGAGAAAAAATCCATTGACTCAAAAGGGATTAAAAATCTGGACCTCCCTTAATTTTAAACAACTTTACTAAAGCCCTGAAATGGTTACAAGATAAACTCTCATAGTCTACCCTGGAGCCACCCCAAATCTATCATCTCTAGGAAAAGTTATGCTTTTCTACCTTGCGGGTAGGGGCGGAGCTAGGGGGTGCCCAGACTAGACCCTGGCCCACCCCAAATTTAAAAAATACCAATATTTTTAGTGTAAAAAATTTCGTGTAAATTTTTTTCCAATAATATTCTTTGTACTGGCCCAGTGCCCTGGTTCCGTCCCTGCTTGCGGGTAGAGAGTCTCTCAGCTTTGCAACGAAGCTTCTCACAACACACATACTTACTAACCTAGAGGAAGCGATCAACTGTTAATCCTCAAAATCCCATTACAACATAAGGAAAAAACTATATCTAGAACTCTTGATTGAGATGTTCTAGGCACTTGAAAGAAGATGTCATTGGGTTGTCCAGTGTGGAAATATCACACTAGAAACCCATCATTTTCCTAGTTTTTCCGTTTCAACGAGTGAATTTCGAGAATCAATTTCTCATTCACCCGTTATCCGTTTTGTGTGTACCACATATCGAATTGTAGCCCTTAACAAGGGGAATCCGAAACCACTTTGATCCAACCCAAATCGGAAGTGGAATCCACTCAAAATATTTTCTTAAATTGACCATTTAATGCAATTGTTAACACATTTTTTCAACAATAATTACTTCAAAATGATATGTAGAACTCCATAGTAAATACTCTAATGTTACTTCTATCGCAGGAAGAAAAATAAGAATTTTATTTTCGAATTTTAAAATTTATTTACTTATACGTATTTCGGAAACTTTCTTTTTAGGGAAAAGGTGCCAATAAGCCCTCGAACTAACCGAAAAAGTGTAAATCACCCTTTTTATAGTACACTCTGTCCAGCCATCGCCATTTTGATGTATTTTTTGAGCATCTTATTCGTTAAGTCTAGTTTACCCATACCAAATTTCAGCTAAAATTCAACCGGGAAGGCAGTCAAATGATTTTCTGAAATATATTGCGTTGTTTAACTGCGCAGTTATCTTGAAACATTTATTTAACTGCCTATCCGATTGCTTTTTTAGTTGAAATTTGGTATGAGTAAACTAGACTTAAGAAAGAAGATGTTCAAAAAAATTAATCAAAAAATTGCACACGCATGAAATTCATCCCTTACATTAAATGATTTGCACTTTTTTGGTTAATTGGATGACTTAATTGCCCCTTTTCCCTACTTTTTATTTATTTTATATTATGACCAAAAGGTGCACGTGTCGGGGTGTCGTGGGAGCACCGCCCGCAAGACTCCACACGCGTCGGCCGAACAAGAAACAAACAAACACTTCTTCGTGGACACCGAACAAGAAAGCCCCACAAAAAATGGTAAAGACAGCCGCAGGTGGATCCGCTTTAGCCGTTCATTACACCAAGAAGAAGAGGCGGTCGGCGCCGGAGCGCCGCCGCTCTTTTAAGAAGAAAGTGTTTGATTATCTCTTCTCCGATGACTATATGTTTGCGCCCTTGCTTTCCTTGCAATCCTCAATAGTCTCCTCATCTTCATCCGGTACGGATTTCACAGGAAATGGATGAATTGGTTTTAATTTTACTTATAATATCTTTAGTTAGTTTTTTTTTTAAAGAAGTTAGTTTTTAAATTGGAAATTAAAATTTAGTTAATTATATCAAAATAAGGGTGTTATGTTTTTCTTGTACCACTTGAAAGAAGTTAGATTAGTATCATTTTCATTAATACCAATTTAATGAGCTTTCCTATCTCATAGCTTTCCTATCTAGTAACTTGAAAAATACTACTAGTATCAATTATTACTTCAATACTGCCATTTTAACATTCAAATCGGAGTAACTCAGAAGGTAATGTCTGATACCGGCATATTAATGTCTGATAATGTCAAAATATTATCGTAAAATATTAATTAAATATATTTTATTTGAATGCTCCTATCGTATAATATTAATTAAAAATATTTCATTTGGCTAATTAATTGAAAGTGCAATTCTATAATAACACTACCAAAAATAATAGGATTGACAAAGTTTTTTGGAAGGAATTCTCTAAATTTCGTGGAGGATTTGACACGGACACCCCAAATTCATGCCAATAGCATTTTGTCACGAGCTATTTTGACGCAAAATCATCCATCAAGCTGTCAATCCGTGTCAAAATTCATGGATAATAGCTTATAGTATATTGTCACTATCACAATGTTGTCTCTCCATATGAGCCATTACCATCAAAGTGAACAGGGTTACTATAATTTGAATTTATGTTTTTGTTCATCTTTCTTAAGTCATATTTCGTTAGGGGTTAGTTTTATCATTCAGTTCAATGGTTCATTAGCAGGAATTGAGGAACCACTTGCAATGGAAAAAGAAGAGGAGGATTTTGTGGAGAAAGTTGGTGATTATATGAGATCAGATTGCTACTTATACTCTCCAATGGTCATCACTCAACCTTGGCTTGCATCATCTGTTCAATGTCAACCCCCAGCTACAAAAACAGGTTTGCTTATTGGTGTTCCCCTGTCCTCTCTGTCTAAGGCTCAATCCTAAGATGCATATAACCTAATAACCTATGACTAGTCCTGCATTTGATCTAATCCTTAATATGCACTGCGGGATGATGTTGAGTACATTAGTAAGCCTTCGGTTATCTTAAAAGGTTAACCTAATAACGTGAGGAGTAACATAGTCTAGATCTTATATACGGAGTGTTAACTTAATACTGCATACTTTATACCTTGGCCATTATGTATATTACGTATATGCATGTGTATATTATTAGTCTAGATCTTAATATGCATTGGTCATTTACTAGATAGGCAAGCAAAATTGCCCTTAAAATCTCTGGGAGCTTGAAAAGAATTTACTTCTGTATTTCAGAGTTGCATCATATCCTTGAAAAGAAAGACATGGCCGAAACCGGGGAGTTGTTAAAAGAAGGCGATCAAACTGATCATCCTGTTGAGAAGATTAGTATTGGTGTTTTTAACAAGGACCAGAACACCGATAGCTGTCATCCTTTTGATTTAAGCCGCACTCGCATCAAAAGTACCAGCTTACGGCAAGAAACAGTTAAGCACGTGATATTCCAACACTCCCGTCCGTTAACCCCGTGACAGGTTATTCCTTTGTGTCATATCATTATTCAATTCTGCAGGTACATAAAGTGTTGAATTAAGTTGAAGTATCATACATTGGACAATTTATCCAATTTTCGCCTACTATACGAGAGTAGGACTTTATTTTGCAACTTTTACTAGAATCTCACCCCTGCGTTGCATGGCCAGAATTTTTTAACAGAATGATAATTCGAAGTACTATTTAGTAATGGTAATTCCTAAATGAGGAAGTTATTTTTCATCCATATCAAGATACAAATAGTTTAAATGCAATATTTTAACTTTTATTTACATAGAGCTATTAGATGTTGTTGTTGGGCCTTTTGCATTTGTTTAATTTGATTAAAGAACAGCTGCTACCAGAAGGGCAGTGTTAAAGAATGATTCATCGAATAGTTGTCGTATTGCAAAGTTGACCCAAAATCATCTTATTTAGACGGGGTAAATCTGGTCGCTGCTTCCCTAACTATGTCCCTACATTTATCATTGTCCTACTTTTTAAAAGATTATGAGCCTGTTTGGTAACACTGAAAATTGACTGAATTTGTTGATATATTGATGAAATTCATCTTTTTAACAAACTAAAGAAAACATTATATGAAAATATAGCTAAAGTACTCATTTTCAGCAATTTCAACAAGAAAAGTAACTCAACCTTACTTATTTTGACTATTACGTAATTTAACACTCGAAATAAAAAGTTTGGTAAAAATCCTCACCTAATAAGATTCGGATATAGTGGTTACCAAACAGGTTCTACATCAAAGCTTGATCACATTTCCCCAAGCAGGCTAACATGAGGTGATTTTAATCCAGCTTTATCTGTTTGGCATGTTGAACTTGTTTAAAAGTGAACTCATTATGCTTAATTTGTTGCTGAAATAATGTTTTATTCTGACAGAAGAGTGTTCTTTGGACCATGAAAGAGTCGTGGGAGCTGAGGTTTGCGACTAACTATAGAAATCCCAAGTTTGCATATCACACTTTAGTCTACCTTCAATTTTATTCAGATACACATACTAGATCTATATATATGTTGCATATATAGCTCTAAAATTTTCTTTGTATCCCCCGTGGGCCACGACCCACGAAAGTATAGTTTTTAGTTTTTTTTTTTAATATATTTGTGACATGATATAACGGAGTATATGGTACTTAAATTTAGAAATCATTTAGTTTAACTAAACATTTCTAGAATTTTTTCTACTCCCTCCCCTATTTATGTGAGCATGTTGTAATGACCAAGATTATCTAATTTTTTTAAATGAATAAATCATGACCATTCAAAATGCCAACGTGCTCCGTAATGAGCACGTTGGCGTACTTATACAATCCTACGATTTTCTGCGAAAATAGAGATTTATAATTTTAATCCTGTAATTTTGGGATGGATCTAGTTCTTCTTGTGCAAACTTGTAGGCGTGTTAGAGAATTGAGAATCTTATTATTGTTTTCCCACTTTATACAACACTCTAATCCTTCATCCAAAACTCAAAACAAGATTGTCCTAAATTAGTTACATTGACGGATTTCTTGAACTTCATCCCATTTTAGGCTAAATTGTGTGATAAACATAATCTAAGACATGCCTGTCATTTTCTAGCATTTGTTTGGTGATGAAATTAGGAAACAGAAATACACTATTTATTTACTTGGAATCATATGATTATCACGGAGAACAGTGAAATATTAAATGTGTGAATATTATAGAAAACGCGTAAAAAGTATAAATTAGATGATTACATACTAAAAAGGTAAATAAACAACTTGCTAAAGAATTGCTAGAAAGGAAAATGTTGCAAGTAATAGCTTTGTATGTTTGCTGCTATCTTCATTCTTCCCTGAATAGCTTATCTATTCATTGTCCACAGTTATTTCATCTTGAGCCAAAAAGGCAACCATCATTCCGCTTGGTGTTCTGTATCAAGAATTCCAAGTAATCCTTTTATTTCATCTTATTATTCGTGCTCATTTCGTGTAATTTGAATTTTGTTTGATCCCCTCTAATTTCAACATATAATTTAATCTGTTGTTATTTTGGGATCCTAATGTTATTATGACAAGGTCTATTGTTCTTTCGAGGTTTGTTTCTGATTGAATAAATTGATGTTAAGTTGGACTCTTGGTAATTAACCTATGACAAGGTTACATTCCCGCCGTTACAATCTATAAAGATTTATTCCGGGACAAATGAAGTATAATTGCGTTGCGCGCTTATGCCACAAAGATGTGGCAATAATATTTAAGAGCTTTATGACAATGGTATGCTTTCATTTGAAATAGCAGAAATAGAATTGCAAGTTGTGACATTCTTGGACAACTTTGATATATGGTACATGTGAGCAATTTGACCATAGCGTTTTTCCAACTTTGATAAAAACATAGCTGGAATCTTACCCAAAGTCACCTTAATTAAGCAAATACAATATGGGCGGTGATCGGGCGGTAACGCAGCCTGGAATTCTCCGTGAGGTGGTTCGTTATAGCGCAACATCCTACTACCAGTACGACAACGAGGAAGGCGATGAAGCTCATGTTAGCGATGGCCACCCTGTTCCAGTTTCTTTTGACCTCTTTGATCAACCCAGCCTTGCAAGACTGGCAGTCATAGCACAATATGTTTTGGTCGTTGCTCCAAATTCTGCATTCTGTGATATCGACTGAAGAATTTGTGGGGTTTTGGTACTTAATGATGTGGCAGCCGCTAGGCGGGTTGCAGCAACCAGACTGTATATAATAAGAGTAACAAAAATTGCAAAAAATTATTGGTTACTTGATCAATCAAAATTACAGGATTAAAATTATAAATCTCTATTTTCAGGGGTCTTCCGCCAATCTGCAATAAAACTGTCGTCGTCGATGGATTTTGTCACGTCACTGATTTGGTTATGCAAGCGAATTAGGCAGCGGCGGACCCAGGAAAGTCAAGTTGGGGGCGAAAATATTTTTGGAGGGTTCAAAATACTTTTTGGGAGAGGAAAATTTATTTTTCGTATATATATACACTAAAAAAATTCTATTGGGGGGTGGTAACCCCCCTGGATCTCTACTACGGTCCGCCCCTGGAATTAGGGGCGCAAGTAATTAAATTAATTAATGAGGTATAAACGAAATGATTAGCCTATTTAATAAAACCAAACATGATTCTATTTTTGGAAGAAAGCTACTTCATCTGTCTCATATAAAGATTATCAGTTTCCTTTTTTGGACGTCTTATATATATGTTCTCATTTATATTTTAAGAAATAATTAATACTCTTGAATGACAATTTAATCAATAAATATTAAAAATAATACATCTATTACATAGAATTATCACTACTAACCCCATCATATTACGGAGTATATAACTATCAAAATTATTTCTCAAAATATACTAAAATTATCTTATTTAATTATTGTCTAAATAACCGTGTTGTTTTGCAATGAGAACTTTTAAACAGGAAGTAGGTAATATGTTTTGGTCTTACTTTGGACAATTTTCTATATAAAAATTACTAATTATAAAAAACACCCCTACTATCTTCCTCGAACAATTATTGAATTTTATTGTCTTCTTATTGAAAGCTTTGACCCTAAATATATACTAGTAACATTCTATACTTTATAAAATATATAATAAATTAACATTTGAATAATTTATATTGCAATGAAGTGTATGAAATTAATTTCGTGTAGTAAAAGTAAACATAAACATTTATTTTCTATGCTTAATCCTCCTAATCTAATTAATATAATTAATTGTCCCTAATTCTTTAAACATAAATAACTCTAATTTAGGCAATTTTAAACAACTACTCATATTTTTGTCTTTTAATCATGTTTTGTATTACTAGAATTACCTATTTTTAGGTACTCACTCCATCCCAGTGACTCTATCAACTTTTCTTTTTTGTTTGTTCCAAAAAACTTAGTTATTTTTCTTTTAAAGTAATGAATTTGTGTTTCTGTCGACTGTAATTTCTTTCTCATTTATACAAATCTCAACCACAATGATATTACTATACTAATTTCACATCTAACATCAACTTGGTAAGTGAGACAAAGTTAGTACTACCTCCATCCTAATTTGATGGTCTCAATTCTTATTCACTGGAAAATACAAATCACTCTTAATCTCTTTGTATATCAAATTTTTACTCCGTATCAAATTTGATTCTGGTGTTTGCGACTTTGTATAATTATGTAGTTTCTTTTTCTAAAAATAATTTGATTACGGATAGGGACCTGTTTGCTTTTCCGTCACTCAAGTATTGTACACTGCAAAGAGACCATTAAATTGGGACGGAGGGAGTAGAATAATACGGAGTACTAGCCTACGAGGTACTTAGGTAATGACTTTGGATGTTTTCTTTTGAACTATTTTAGTCTCATACATACCAGACCAGATTAAATTAGATTTTATAGATTTTATAGTTATAAAATACACAGAGACTAGACATTTACCAGATCGGACAAGACTAATTATGTCCAGAACAACAAATTTCAGTCCAAAAGAAAACATACTTGTATTTTCTTGAATTACCTTGAGGTGATTATTAACGTCAACGAGAGGCGCAGAAGAAGAATTCATCAATCTCCGGCACACCAGACTTTGTTGAATGCAACTCCGGAAGATATACCAGTGCTTCTCGACCCTCTTTTGGAGCCACCCCGAGTAGTTCCCGAGCCTGAACTCCATGAACCCTTTGCCGGAAACGGCCTCAGCGGCGCCGTCGTTAGTCACCGCGAAGGCGAAGACGGCGAAGCAAAAGAAAAGCACGGCGATTACAGATGTGAGGATAACATATGTCCAGAGCAGGCACGAGAAGCACGTAGACCCCAAGAAACCCATGACGGAAAGTACAAGTATGAAAGCTCCGGCGACTATCAGTAATTTGTTTATCAGCCGGTCGCACGCCGCCGGCGTGGACTGATGCCGCGACAACCATATGCCGCAGATTAAGATCGTAATCGAGATCAAGAAAGTCATTATATTAAGCCCTCTTAGCAACTGGTTGCTCAATCTCGCCATTTTTGGTGGTGAAAAACTAAAGAGCCCGCCATATATTTTGGATTTTAAGATCATATATAAGGAGTACTTTTCTGTTTGTGAGCAAATTAAAACCATTATAGTCCGTAACTATTATGGTATTAGAATTAATTCGCTTCAAATCATTATCTTTCTTACCAAATTTGAAAGCATGGATGCATGGGGCAGGCAGGAGTGACACATGCTTTAGCCCACCGGCCCGGGCCCGGTCCGGCCCATTTAAAATATGGGCGGGCTTGGGTTGTAATATAGGCCCGGTCGGACCTAAAAGCTCGGTCCGTAAACATATTATATATATTATTCTATATATAATTATACAGTATATGACTATATGTATAAAACTTAAAATACTTAGAAGTATTAAGGTTTGAACTGTAATGATACACATTTGTTAAGTCTTTTTGGAGATACTCTTGACTATTTGCGCTGCACATTGTGAATCTGTGATTGTGCTTTTAATTATGGAATATGGATGCTTATTTGGAATTTGGATGCTTTTTGTTTTCCAGAATCGTTTTGTGTATTGCATTTAAACGTATTCTTGTGTTCAAAATGTGTTGTGAGTACATTAATTATTTAATTGCATTTAAAATGTTGTGATGTTATTTCATAAATGTTTTCATTTTTTTAACAGAGTTGACAAAAGGATATTTTCCGGGCCCAAAAGCCCGGTGGGCAGCCCGACCCGCTCTCATGGGCGGGCTTGGACATATGAGGAGGCCCGTTTTACCGGGCTGGGCCGAGCCCGCCCACTACAAGTGGGCAGATTTTTTAGAATAAGCTCGGCCCGAGCCCGTGTTTGTGCAGGTCTAGGCAGGACCTATTTCATTTTTGCTTATTATCCATTCTATTTACATAAATTTGACTAAAATAATGTCATTTCCTCAAAATAAGATATACTCCGTAGTAAGTAAGATTTTATTATTTGTGATTAGACAAAAATACTCTCAAAGGATCGAAGGATTGTTGCTTCAAGGCCGCTAGACCGCCGCCGGTTGGCACAATTTTTTTCCACAGTGTCGTTGCAGATATGCCAGAGTTCATCGCCCCCAAGGTAATCTGCCTCCACGGTGGAAGGGAATTAGGAGAGCTTAGTTAAGCAAGGGAACTAGGAAAGCAATTAACCGATTTAATAAATTAATATTAATTGATTAATTAAATGATGAGTAAAATGTAATATTTACTCCTCTTTAATCAACACTAAATATTTTCGTTCTTCACCACAATTATTTGTTCTCTAATTTTGAGGATCAACTTTTTAGTTCACTCCATTTCGTTTTTTACGTACACTTCAATACATCATATATTGTCGTTATGAGCCATTTACTTAAATTTAATTGTTAATATAAATTAAAACAATGTAATGATAAAATTAAGCTATCATCGGTGATCAGCTTATATTGATTTATTATGAGTAACATAGTATACTTTGAGCATACACTAAAAAATGACACATGTATTTGTGTATGTCTGGTCTGGTTTGATTTGATCGGGAACTGAAAAGTAAAAATTTGATCCCATGCTAGGAAAAGCTGAACTCCATAAGCAATTTTCCTCATTCTTTTTTGCTTATCTATTAGTTACAAACCGTAATACCTAATAAGTTTAGAAAAAAATGACACCCATCCCTGAGGGCCCCCCAACCCCGACCGGAGGATATGTTGGGAGCAATGGCGGACCCAGAAAGTCAGAGCCACGGGATCCCTACCGTTTTATATCTCTAATCTCTAATTAATACAAGTATAAAACCAATAAAAAAATTGATCCAATTTTTCATTTAGTAATGGTGAATCATTTGAATTAACACTTGAACTACTCCCAGTACTCTAGGTTTCTTTAAATTTGGGTACAACATCAAAATTAATAAATTCATATATTTATAAATGTTATTTTCAATTGGATACATTTAGCGTGAAGAAATGAAGAAAATAAAAGTTCAAGTTGGAGGATAACAAAAGTGAAATTTCCTTCAAAGAAAACAAGGAGTAAATTGGAGAAAAGTAGCAAAAATTAAGAAAGATGAAGCTGGGATTCGGGCACTAGTCATCATTTGGACAAAGGACATACTCACCAATGAGCTAAATGAACCAAGTTGAAGTTTTTGTTGGAAATTCGTATACATTGTTTAAGTCCAGCACTGGAAAAAGGAATAAAAGGAAGAGACCAGGTTTCGAACCCGCGACCTCATATTTGGAATAAGCACCCATCACCGCTACATTGCTCCGTTCTTTTGGTTCAAGGTTAATTGTTGTTTTTTGTGTAAATATATACTTCCTCCAGTCCTTATTAAACTTTACACTTTGACTTCACACATACTTCATCCGTCTCTTTTTAGTTGCAACAGTCAACATTTCACGTTTGCCAACGCACAATTTTGACCGTCATTATATTTAATTCTGTATTAGTAAAAATAAAATAAAAATCAGATTATAAAACTTAGTAATGAGACGAATTTAACAACATTTTTCAAAAAAAAAATTCACATACATTCATAAATAAAATGTAGTCAAAGTAAAGTACATGAATAGTGTATGTATTCCAATGTTGCAATTAATGAGATACGGATGATAGAATTAAGAAAATAAATTTGACTTTACTGTAGAGTACACTGTTTGACACTGTTTGTCATTTTTTTGCACTGTTTGGTGTAGAATAGTTTGCCAAATAAAGAAGTGTAAGTTTAATATGGGACGGTCCAAAAATGAAAGTGTAAAGTTAATTAAGGACCGAAGGGAGTATTGAATAATTAATTTTATATAATATATACTCCCTCCGGTCCTTAATTAACATTACATTTTCCTTTTTGGGCCGTCCCATATTAAACTTTACACTTCCTTATTTGCCTTATTTGGCAAACAAATCTACACCAAACAGTGCAAAACAATGTCAAACAGTGTACTCTACAGTAAAGTTAAATTTATTTCTTTAATATGTGTGAAGTCAAAGTGTAAACTTCATTAAGGACCGGAGGGAGTATAAAATATATATAGGTATTTTTTTCGAGGTGCACGGGACCCCGGGACCCCGTGGGACCCGTAGTGGGTCCGCCTCTGGTTGGGAGGATGTAAGTTGGATTATAATCACAATCTGACAGATAAAGAGTGGGACTCTGTCCCCGGTACTTGCAGATGTCTTATGCATTTTTTAGCATAGTAACCTCTCATCGCAGTTGCCGGGATTCGAACCCGGGACCTAACCCTTGTGACACTCCCTCGCTACCAGTTGAGCTACGTCCACCGACACCTAATAAGTTTAGATTGACTATAAAAGAGCATTTTGATTTTCGAGAATGCTTTTTGAAAACAGGCTATAATGTTAGGATTGCAAGTTTGTCTTTTCACTGTTCACAAATGTTTATTTTATACTCTCTTCATCCCAAAAAATACTTTCCATTTTGACTTTGCACGCCTATTAAGAAAATGAGAATAAGGTGGAAACGTATGATTATCTTTGAGTAAGAAAAAGGCAAATGAATGATAACCACACAATTTTTTTCAAAAATAGTAAGTTGGAAGAATCTTAAGAGACGGATGGAGTATTAGCTAAGAGTCGATAGCTGGCTGCCCAACACCTAAATACTTTTTAAAATAAATTACCGTTCATTTATGTATAGTTTTAACATGATACTACCTCCTTCCCAAAATACTTAGCCAAATCTCAAAATTTGGATCATGATTTTGATTAGTATAAAATTATAAAAATTATAAATTCTATACTTTTATGAAAGTACTTTTATCAAAGAACATTTTCATGTCATTTTTATACTACATCCGTCTCGAAAAGGTTCGCCAGATTGACTTTTCTTGGTCAATCATGACAAACTTTAGACAATGATTTTAATTATTTTATTTGTATATAATTTATAAATTTTATACTTTTATGAAAATATTTTGAATAAGGAACAATTTGATATAATTTCCATATTCAAATTAATTTTGTATTAAAAAATATCATTGGTCAAAGTTGATTGTCATTGACCAAGAAAAATCAATTTGGCAAACCTTTTCGGGACGGAGGGAGTATCATACTACGTACATAATTTCCAATAAATATATATATGATTGGTCAAATTTTCAATTTGACTAAGTATTTTGATGTAGTACTAATTACTAAATGTTGAAATATACTCTTATTTTTCACAAGCACCGAAAATTGAAAAAGAAAAACATCTAGAGTCAAATTTATTATATACTCCCTCCGTCCCGGAAAATTCTTCCCACTTTGACTTGGATCGGAGTTTAATGCAAGTGATAAATGGCATTGACTTTCCATGTATACCCCTATACTAAAGAAAGAGGCGGCCGAAATGGAAGGGGGTAATAACATTTACTGCAAGTACAAAAAGCAATATTTGATGTGATAGCTGCAATCTAGAGATATTTTCCTGCGCATAGGATACAATCCAGGTTGTTTTGGAAACCCCACTTACAAAAAAACTTCCCTCCAAGTTTTCCCTCCCTTTTTCCATCTATAAATACACGTTCTAAAAGAAGAATTTAATACACACAGCACACACAACACACTAGGCTACATACGGACTACATTTATGCAAGCCAACATAAATGCTGCCCAATCTTCTTCATCCCCTCCTGCACCTTCCATATATGAAGATTTGGCTTCATCTCCATTAACCGTTTCTTCACCATCCATAAATGAAGACATGCCCCCATCTTCATTAGGCTCTGCTGCAGATCTGCAAACAACACAAGACCCAAGCTCAAATATCAAAGCAAAAAGATTAGCAAACAATGAAAGAGGGAGCATAATAGATGAAATGCTAATCACTACTAAAAGAGATATTTCTGGGGCATTACTAGCTCAGAGAGGTGTGTTTTCTAAGCTAGCCACTAAATACTCAGTGACTAGAAGAACTATTTTCAACATTTGGAACACAACCAAAGACCAACTTGAAAAAGGGGAAACTGTAGATGTACGTCCAAAGTGGGTGGGAAACTCAGGCAGATAAAGAGTCATGTTTGATGTTAGGTTGTTTTTACTTGGACTGTAATTCGTCCCAGACCAGACCAGAC